TCAGGACCTGTTTAACTTTGCTAAACTGGCAGGAAGCGCAAAAGAAACATCAAAAGTGAGGAACTACAGGCCTGGAGGTTCTCGCGCTCCCTGGTACAAGTGAGGAGCCTTGACCTTATCAGATGTCATTGGAGAGGAGAGCTCTGCAGAGATCTCAGCAAAGATGCTGGCTAGCGATAGCCAGGTCACACAGACATCCCAGATGGAAATATGCGCTAAGGCCCTTCAGGGCAAGAAGGTCAAGAGCCTCAGGACATCAAAGCGCTGCCAGTGACCTGGAGGGCATACGTGACTCATAACTGTGGTTATGATGAAGGTGTCAGGAGGCCCAGGCCCTGCAAAGCATTCCAAGTCTCCTACCCTTAGCTGAGTTTCCCCAGTGAGGGTGCCTGTCTCTCTGCCAAGTAAAGGAGACGAGCTGAGGGGTCTTACCGAGGACCTCACACAGAGGACTCCTCACAGATCTTTCTCTTAGATTGACCCTCTGGTTTTGCCTCAGCTGGGAGAAGCTCTGGATCCAGTGAATGCCTGCTCAATCAGGAGGGGATGTGTAAGGCCTGGGTTCGAGACCCTGGCTAGGGCACCATCATACCCCAAGTGCAAGGCCCCAGCGTGGGCCCAGCAGTGCCCCAGGCTACTAGATGGTGTGGAATATTTGCCAAGAGCAAGTATGTTCTCAAGCTAGAATTGTGCTCATAGAAATTTCCTTTCCCCGTTATCTATTGTTTTTAAAAGCACTGCATACCTTTGTTCCAAAGTGTAAGAATTCCTAAAGTAGACTAGTTTGCTCTACTCCATACACATACGTTTTTCATCTTTAGGTAGATTTTTTTAAAAAATGCGTCACTAATGAATAGGACAAATTTGAATTGACGTGGTACTACTTTTTATTAACAAAGATAGACTGAAATGTCAAGGAAGTTGACATTAATTTGCTTACGTGAGTGCTTTCTTTAAAAGAGCAAACCATTGGTTAGACTTCCCTTAAATTAAGAGCAGGAAGCTTAATGATTTTAAATGTGGTTATGAAGCGCTCGAAACTCATCAAGCTCTCGGCGACCTCGGGGGTAATCACACAGTGACACCTAGTGGCTTTTAAAATCACTTACGCTGTTAAGTGTCCTGTGGTTCTCCAGCGTCCATTCTTTCAGACATTTGCCAGGCACCGTAATACCCATAAATGATCATTAGAATCCAAGCAGATCTACAAAATTACCTCTTTTCTCATAGTGATATGGTGTGGATGTGGATTTTAAGGAGTGTAATGATTATTGGTATATTTTGAGTCATTTCTTCCTGAATCTTTTTAGCCATTTGGAGATTAGCCCTGGTTTCAGTTCATGGGTAGAGGAAACACTGCTAATAACATAAAACTGTTCCTAAAATCACGCCAGCTTTGGTATTTCTAGAATCTCCCATTCTCTTTCCCTCATCTCAACTACATAACTAAATCCAAAAACCAGACCAAACCCATTGAGTAGAGTTGATTCTAACTCATAGCGACAGAGTAGACTTGCCCCATAGGGTTTCCAAGGGCAGCTGGTGGTTTGAACTGCTGATCTTTTAGTTAGCAGCTGAGTTCTTAACCACTGTGCCACCAGGGCTCCAACCACGCATCTACAGGAATGCAATTCCATTTGTAAGTTAAATGAGTCTGGGGAAGATAAGAGCATTCTTTTGTTTATGACTCCAAGAGCACAGCCTACTCCCAGAATCTGGATGGTTGAGCCATTGCCCAGCTGGTCCTGGAGAACAGAGGATCATTTTCAATTGAAATTTGTCATGCTGGGTTTTGGACTTTCCTGGAGCCCTGGTTGCATAATGGTTAAGAACTTGGCTGCTAACCAAAAGGTTGACAGTTCAAATCCACCAGCTGCTCCTTCGAAATCCTATGGGGCAGTTCTACTCTGTCCTATAAGGTCACTATGAGTCGGAATCAATTTGATGGCAACAGGTTTTGGTTTTCATACCTGTGATTCCTTCTTTCCCTCTAATTCCTCCCACTTGGAATAGGAATGTCTAGCCTGTGCTTATCCTATCATTGTACTTTGGAAGCAGATAACTTGCATTCTAGATTTCATAGGTCCACAGATGAAGAGGAATTTTTGCCCCAAGATGGAGTACACCCGGAGTCTCACCCATACCTAATTTAGATGATTCGGAAGATGGGATTTTGGAGTTGCTGGAGAATTTGGGGTGATGAGATAGGGTCAATGTGTTTCCACATGTGGGAAAGACATGAATTTTAGGGGGCCAAAGGGTGGAATGTTAAGGATTGAATTGTGTCACCCCAAAGTATGTGTTAGAATCCTAGCCCCTCTACCTGGGGATGTAAATCTTGTTTGGAAACAGGTTTTTCTTTGTGATGTCAATTAGGCCATACCAGTGTAGGGTGTGTCTTAAACCTAATCACTTCTGAGTTATTAAAGAAAGCACAAATGGGAAGATAAATGCTCAGGAGTGTTCCCAAGGGCTGCTGGGTCTACAGACGCTGAATGAGACAAGGTTCTTCCCCAGGAGCTGACAGAGAAAGAGCCTTCCCCTAGAGCTGATGTCCTGAATGGGAAATTCTAGTCTCCTGAAGGGTGAGAAGATGAATTTCTCTTCTTTAAAGCCGCCCACTTGCAGTGTTTGTGTTACAGCAGCACTCAGAGACTGAGACAGGTGACTACTCCTCAAACCTTCCCCCCTCCTGGTAATAATTTGGGGTGGTGCTGGTAGATATTGCTTTTAAGAAGCATTTCATCCTACTAGAGGGCCAAGACAGTTTGTAAAATATATTTTTTATTTTTAAAAATCCCTCTTAATGTAGACAAAGGGAAGGGCCCAGGAGGGATAAAGTGGAAAAGTAAACATTACAAAAGCAACAATTTCAGTCACTAATTCCTGACTAGAAAAAGAGCAGTTACAGGGACAGGGAAAGATATGACTTGGTAAGAAATAAACAGGCTTCCAAGGTTTTCTTTGTGCCACCATGAAACTCCTGAGTAGCTGCAGTTTGACTGTGGGAAGAGTTGGAAACAGTAGCTACTGGAAGTTGACCTCCAGAGCCAGTTAGCAAATCCAAGAAGAAAGTTCTGGTAAGTGTTGGTAGTCAAGGAAGGAAGGGCAGAGGACAGCAGATGTTAGGAAGGTCTTCTAATGTCAAAATACAGGTAACTTGAGGGTCATTAGAGATAGGCCTGGTGGTCCCTGGTTACATTTGGCTACTAACCAAAAGGTGGAGATTCAAACCCACCCAATGGCACCACAGAAGAAAGAAACTAGCAATCTACTTCTGTAACGATTGTTGTTTTTGTTGTTAGGTGCCGTCGAGTCAGTTCCGACTCATAGCGACCCTGAGTACAACAGAATGAAACACTGCCTGGTCCTGCCCCATCCTCACAACTGTTGCTATGTTTGAGCCCATTGTTTTAGCCACTGTGTCAATCCATCTCCTTGAAGATCTTCCTCTTTTTCACTGACCCTCTACTTTACCAAGCATGATGTCCTTCTCCAGGGACTGATCCCTCCTGATAACATGTCCAAAGTACATCAAACGTAGTCTTGCCATCCTTGCTTCCAAGGAGCACTCTGGCTGTACTTCTTCCAAGACAAATTTGTTTGTTCTTTTGGCAGTCCACGGTATATTCAATCTGTAAAGATTACAGCCTAGAAAATCCTATTGGGCACAGTTCTCTGTGACACATGGGGTCATCATAAGTCGGAACCAACTTGATGACAACAAGGTTTGCTTTGGTTTTATAGATAGGCCAGAATTGAAGTTAAAGTGTCATCTAATCAGAAAAAGAAAGTCATTAGTTAATTAATTGAAGTTCATTGATAACAAGTTTAATGTAAAAAAAAAAAGTCTATGTTGTGCTAGATATTATATTTCTTTAACTATTGCTATAATTGGTATTTTCTCTCAAAGTTAAAATGTCATCTTAAGTCAATTAACATTGTTGGCTGGCGATTACTACGTGTCCAAGGCTGTCTCACAGGCTTTCATGTGTTTTAGCTTATTGAACTTTGGCAACCTTCCTTTTCCAAAAGGAAACTGAGTTCAGAGAATGTTATCGCCTACCTGAGATTGCCCAGCTAAAATGTTACAGGGCTGGAATTTGAACCCAAAGACCTCACCTGCCTCCTTGGTCAGCATCCCTTGTACTTGACTGTTGCTCTCATGTCTACCTGTAACCAAACCCGTGGCCGTCGAGTCCATTCCAACTCACAGCGACCCTGTAGGACAGAGAAGAGCTGCCCATATGGTTTCCAAGGAGCAACTAGTGGATTTGAACTGCTGGCCTTTTGGTTAGCAGCTGAGCTCTTAACCACTGCACCACCAGGGCTCAGAGACCTATGAAATAATTACGACAGCACTGTTTCAGGGTAAAACAAAATGGTGAGTGGAAAAGTGTTTTGCAAATCGTAAAGTACTAGACTCAAGTCTCCCATAGATTTTTTTTTTTTTTTTTTTTATTACTGCGGTGTTGTAAAATCGGATAGTCTCTGAGATACTAAGACTTTGGCCCCTGGATCTCAGAATCACATTAACTCTCTTTCAGAAGTTGAACTGTGTATCTTGAAGCTCACATGTGCACTTACTTCTTTAAGACTGAAGTACATTCCAGATTGTGCACGTCGATAATTTCTCTCCATGTGGAAGGTACCACTGTGTGCGTGTGCATATGTATGAAATTTATCACATTACAGTAAGGACAATGTCTACCAGGAACTAATAGGGAAAATACAATCACACACGCCAGTAGGATTCTTAACCTCTTGCCCCTTGAGAAAGTGGCCACTGTGGACTGCAGAGGAGGAGAAGGGACAACACCCCCAGCAAGCCCTGTGGTGTCCACAAGTGCAGCGGCTGTAATGACCTATGGGCCTTTGACTCAGCCGGGAGGGAGAATGTGACTTCTCGGCACCGGTTGCTTTACTTGTCCTTGCGTTTGTTTCTCTCAGGTGGCCACAAAGTCCCACGCCGCTGATGGTCTGCACTTGCCAGCGGCACCATGGACCACAGCCTGAAGAATGTGCTGGTGGTTTCCTTTGGGTTCCTCCTGCTCTTCACGGCCTACGGAGGGCTGCAGAATCTGCAGGTGGGTGTGGTGGCGTGGGGATCTTCACGTCGGCTCTTCTCTTGGTCTCCAAGAATCCCATAGTCACAGGAGTATGATGAACGTATGACTCCATTTTATCCAACTCACCCTAGTATTTCTTTCCCCCTCCAGACAATCCTGTGAAATAAATAGTTTTTATTATTATTATGTGTTTTAGGTGAAAGTTTACAGTGCAAATTAGTTTCTCGTTCAAAAATTTGTACACAAATTGTTTTGTGACATTGGTTGCAACCCCTGTAATGTGTCAGCACTCTCCCCCTTTCCAGCCCGGGTTCCCCATGTCCATTCTTCCAGTTTTCCTGTCCCTTCCTGCTTTCTCATCTTTGCTTTTGGGCAGGTGTTGCCCATTTGGTCTCATATACATGATTGAACTAAGAAGCACGTTCCTCACATGTGTTATTGTTTGTGTTATAGGCCTGTCTAATCTTTGGCTGAGAGGTGGACTTCAGGAGAGGTTTCAGTTCTAAGTTAGCAGGGTGTCAGGGGCTATAGTCTCAAAGGTTCCTCCAGTCTCTGTCAGATCAGTCAGTCTGCCCTTTTGTGTGTGTGTGTGTGTGTGAATTTGGATTTTGTTCTACATTTTTCTCCTGCTGTGTTCAGGACCCTCTTTGTGATCCCCGTCAGAGCAGTTGGTGGTGACAGGTGGACGCCATCACGTTCTTCTGGGCTCAGGCTGGTAGGGGCTGTGGTTCATGTGGTCCATTAGTCCTTTGGACTAATATTTTCCTTGTGTCTTTGGTGCTCTTCATTAAACAGCATTTTTTTTGTATACAATCCTACAACGTATGGTTCCCACTAACATTTCAATGGAGTCCCTGGGTGGTGGATGTGGTTAAGTGCTGGACTATTAACTGGAAGGTTGGTAGTTCAAACTCACCCAGAGATGCCTCGGAAGTAAGGTACGGTGATGTGCTTCCAAAAGATCACAGCCTTGAAAACCCTATGGAGCAGTTCCACTCTGCACACATGGGGTCGTCGTGAGTCAGAACTAACCTGACCGCAACTAACACTACCACCAAACCTTCCAATAAGAACGGCACAAGCCCCTAGCGTGTGTTTAACCCATGGACAAAGATGGCAAGGATTTGGGTAACTGATCTGAAATAAGACATTCTTCACCTTTGGATGAGCTGGGTACGCATGGAGACATAAGGAGGAGACATGAGATACAAGACAAATCGCTGTGAATTCTACGGTTTGTGCACTGGGCTTTGTGGTCAGGTGCAATAATGCAAATTTATCAAATTTCACCAGGCCTTGTAGATTCCAAGCCTGCCTTAAGCAAAAATGTGAACGTTGACCAAGTGGTCTCTGCATATTTTAGACTGTTTATGGTGTTCTCGCCTCCTCCGGGCTGTGAGCCCAGATCTCTAACAAGCTCCTATAAAAGGCTGTGGCCGTGGCCGTGCACACCGTGGAGTAGATTGGACGTGTTCCATCTTCCCAAGGTGGGTGAGGTGTAAGTCTGCTCTGTCACCGTGGACTAAACCTCCAGGGCACCAGGGACTGGTCAGGACGTGGGCCCACAGCTAGGACAGCATCCTATCAGCACTGCCCTAGGATGCGTCCAGATTGCAGGACCCTTGGGCCTCAGGGCTGTCTCATGGTGAAACGTTTTCAGAGCGTCTGATGTTTTGTCAACCAAGGACAAGAATTAGGCCCCTACTCTGGCACAGTTTTGAACCATAAGAACACCCAGGGGACTCAGAGTGAAGAGTGGAATGATAGGAGGGGAGAGATTCTAACTTTCCTTCCTTGCTGGTCCTACACAAACACTTTAGACTCTTACGTTGGAAAAGAAGCTCAAGCTCAGCCTTGAATTCCAAATTGCATATTTTCTTCACTGAACCGATATCAGTCTTGTTTCCAGTTAGATTCACAGAGAAGACATTACAGCCAGTGGTGATTTTAAAGCAAAATGGGGGACGAAGTGCAGTCTCCTTTCTTGCTGTTATAGGACAGAACGTCAGGAGTGTTTGTGGCTCCAGAAGCTTGTCACTGTGTCTGGAGCCCCCGCCCCTGCTGCGCGGGATGGAGCAGTGGTCCGAGTCACCGGTGCTTTCTGGCAGGGGATTCGACAAGGTGTGGCCCCATCAGAGTCCTCTCCCTTTAGAAAGTGCTCCCAGGAAGGGCGCCAGAGCTGCCTAAACATCAGGGGCAGGCAGGACAGAGTGTCCGTGCTGAGGGGCCGGGTGATGATGGTGGGGAAGCGAACTCCTAGGAAGCAGCTGTCCTGCAGACTCCCTGGGAACTAGCCTCAGGATTTGGAGGCCAGAGGAGGGAGAGCCTTAGAGACCGTTCATGGTCCCTCTGCCTCTCAGGCAGTGATTCCATGATGCCAACAATACAGACGAGTGTGCTCAGACAGTGTCTGCAGCTTGCCACTCCTACATATGCAAACACAGGTGTGTGAACAAGATCACTCACCTTGCAAAAACAGGCGCTTCTGAAATTTGATTCCCACTTTGGACTTTAAAATATCTTCCCTTTCAGTGGTTTGCAATCAGACCCAATTACAAGAGACACATATACCTTTTGCCATTTGCAACATTGCTCTGAGTAGGAAAGAAATCCCAGTGCAGAGAAATGCTACACACTTTCATTAACATACAAAAAGGCAAGCTCATTAATACACGAGTGTTTAATACATGAGTATTAAAAAAAAAAAAAAGGCTCCAGCTGAACCAGCTCTCTCACTCCACACTCCAGGCAATAGAGTTATAAACAGAAGCTTCCAGGAAACCCCAACTTAAGAGGATACTGATGAATTTCCATCTTCCAACCAGATTTCAGAGCCCTGGTGGTGCAGTGGGCAAGAGCTCGGCTGCTAACCAAAAGGTCAGCAGTTGGAATCCACCAGCCACTCCTTGGAAACCTATGGGGAAGTTCTACTGTATCCTATAGGGTCACTATGAGTTGGAATTGACTCAATGGCAGTGGGTAATGGGTATAACCAGATTTCAGCATTTTTATGGCAATAGCCATTCTTTCTTTCAGTTTTAATTAATCAACAAATTTATTAAGTATCCTCATTGGGCAAGGCATTGGAGAGGATTTTAAAAAAGCGGAACACTTTCCCTGCTTTCAAAGGGATTGTTATCATAGAGGGTGACCAGGTGACAGGCGCTAGAGGTCCAGAGACTGTAGAGAGGTCAAATCTAGAACAAGCTCAGAGAGCTGATCTCCATGAATGAGGTAGTCAGGGAGGACCTCGGTGAAGAGGTAATTCTTGACCTGTGCCCTGGAGGATGGGCACGATTTGGAGGGAGAAGATGAGAATAGACAGAGATGAGGGGTAGGTAGCTTCAGAGAGAAAGGATGAGGAGCAGATCCTGGAGTCAAGGAGCCAGGCTGAGTAAGAATTAGCCCAGAGAGTTTGGACTATACCTGGGGGACAGGGAACCATGAGGCCAAAGGAACATTTTGGGAAGTGAAATCTAGCTGCGTTATGCAGGGACTTTTAGTACAGGACATTCTGTCTTGTCAAGGAGATCAGCTAGAAAGGACTTTCAATGGTCCAGGCATTGAAAGTTCTGGCTTTGGAGTCATATAGATGTTGGTCTGAGATTCTACTCGCCCATTAACTAGTTGTGTGTAGGACTGCAAAGGTATTTAGTATTTCTTTTCATCTCTGTTGTTGTTGTTATTGTAAGGTGCCGATGTGTCAGTTCCGACTCGTAGCAACCCCATGTGCAACAGAACTAAACACTGTCTGGTCCTACGCCATCCCCACAATCATTATGCTTGAGCCCATTGTTGCAGCCACTGTGTCACTCCATCTCCTTGAGGGTCTTCCTCTTTTTTGCTGACCCTCTGCTTTACCAAGCATGATGTCCTTCTCCAGGGACTGATCCCTCCTGATAACATGTCCAAAGTATGTGAGACGAAGTCTCACCATTCTCGCTTCCGAGGAGCATTCTGACTGTACTTCCAAGACAGATTTGTTCGTTCTTTTTGCAGTCCATGGTATATTCAATATTCTTTACCACAACATAATTCAAACACATCAATTCTTCTTCAGTCTTCCTTATTCATTGTCCAGCTTTCACATGCATAAGAGGTGATCGAAAACATCATCTTGGTTCAGGCACAACTTAGCCCTCAAAGTGACATCTTTGCTTTTCAACACTTGAAAGAGTTATTTTGCAGCAGATTTGCCCAAGGCCACACGTCGTCTTTTGATTTCTTGATAGCTGCTTCTATGGGTGTTGATTGTGGATCCAAGTAAAATGAAATCCTTGACAACTTCAATCTTTCCTCTGTTTATCATGATGTTGCTTATTGGTCCAGTTGTAAGGATTTTTGTTTTCTTTATGTTGAGGCGCAATCATACTGAAGGCTGTGGTCTTTGATCTTCATCAGTAAGTGCTTCAAGTCCTCTTCACTTTTAGCAAGCAAAGTTGTGTCATCTGCGTAACACAAGTTGTTAATGAGTCTTCCTCCAATCCTTATGCCCCATGCTTCTTCATATAGTCCAGCTTCTCGGACTATTTGCTCAGCGTACAGACTGAATAAGTATGGTGAAAGGATACAACCCTGACGCACACTTTTCCTGACTTTAAACTATGCAGTGTCATCCTTCATCTGTAGCATGGGGATAGGAATACCTACCTCTTAGCCTTCTCCTCTGTGTCTCGGTGCCTCCATGTCCAAATATTTTTCTTCTTATAGCGACACCAGTGATATTGGATTTGGGCCCACCCTACTGGCCTCAGTGAACCCTAGTGGTAAGCTCTCGGCTGCTAACTGAAAGGTCAGTGGTTCAAATCCACCAGCCACTCCTCTGGAGAAACATGTGGCAGTCTGCTTTCTTAAAGATTACAGCCTTGGAGACCCTGTGGGGCAGTTCTCCTCTGTCCTGTGAGGTCACTGTGAGTCGGAATCAAGGAGGAATCCTCCTCCTCTTCCTCTTTCTTCTTTCCTCTTACAGGTGAAGTTAGGAAACAATTATGCTGGTTTTTCTTTCACTATAAAAGTCAGACTGAATCTCTGAGGCTGCTTTGCTGCCCTGGTTCTGCTTACCTGTCTGCCGCCCTGCTTCTGCTTACCTGTCTGCCGTCCTGGTTCTGCCTGACTGTCTGTCCTGGTCCTGCTTACCTGTTTGGCCCTTTGGTCCTTTCATACCAAGCCGTGCGGGGCACTCAGTTGAAACGTAGCAAAAAGAAGAAGGTGATTTTTCGTTTACAGAGGGCGCAACAGGAGACAGCTTTCTGCCTCTGAGTCAGATTGAATATTACTTTCCTGGAGGCGTCTGAAGAAACTACCGCCTCCCCGTCATCTCCACAGCCTCTTCCCACTCTCGTCCCCTAGAAGGCAGGTTCCCCAGGAAGCAAGAGGCCCCCTGTCCACACCCACCCCAACCTGAGCCCTCTCTCTCCCTGCCTAACACTTAGAAAGGCTTCCTAGGTGGCACAAACGGTTAGCCCTTGGCTACTAACCTAAGGGTTGACAGTTCAAACCTATGCAGCAGTACTGCAGAGGAAAGACCTGCCAACCAGAGTCTGTTAAAGTAACAGCCAAGGCACCCCCATGGAGCAGTTCTACTCTGTCACTCGGGGTCGCCATGAGTCAAAATCGACTCGGCAGCAGTGGGTAAGTACTTAGAAGCAGTCTGTCCCCTCACGTCACCACACTCAGCTGGCGGAGCTAAAGCCTGTCGCTGCTGCAGGCTCCAAGGACCTAAAGGCGATCCTGAGCAGAGGTGAACCACAGCGCCTACCACCAGCCTCTCCCCCGGCTGTGCCGAGGCCCCTTCTGAAGGTGGTCCTGAGCAGAGGTGAAGCACAGCGCCCACCGCCAGCCTCTCCCCCGGCTGTGCCGAGGCCCCTTCTGACTGGGCCGTTTTGTTTCCACAGAGCAGCCTCAACAGTGAGGCCGGCCTGGGCGTGACGGCCCTCAGCACCCTCTATGGCACCATCCTGCTGTCCTCCATGTTCCTCCCCCCACTCCTCATCAAGAAATTCGGCTGCAAATGGACCATCACTGGCTCCATGTGCTGCTACGTGGCCTTCTCCCTGGGAAACTTCCACGCCAGCTGGTACAGCTCCCCTCAGCACGGCCTCAGGTTCCCTGGCGGCTCCTCGGGCTCAGCTCTGTGGGGACCTTCTGTCTGCACCCACGTTGTGTTCACACCCTGGTTATTGCCCCTGCTTCCACTTCAAAATAGGCCCTAGTTCTTCAAATTCCTCTCTTAGCTTCTGGGACAGGGCAATAGTTTGGCTTTCTTCCTCTTTTTCCAAGTGGGACTTCTTTGCTCCCATGCTGGCTCTAAGGAGCCCTGGTGGTGCAGTGGTTAAGCGCTCTGCTGCTAACCGAAAGGTCAACGGTTCAAACCCACAGACGCTCCACGGGAGAAAGATGTGGCAGTCTGCTCCTGTAAAGATGACAGCCTTGGAAACCCTATGGGTCAGTCCTACTCTGTCCTACAGGGCACTGGGTCAGAATCAACTCAACAGCAATGGGTTGATACAAACGTGAAGGAGCCCCAGTGGCACAGTGGTTAAACACTCAGCTGCTAACCTGAAAGGTGGGCAGTTGGAATCTACCACCTGCTCTGTGGGAGAAAGATGTGGCAGTCTGCTTCCGTAAAGATGACAGCCTTGGAAACCCTATGGGACAGTGCTACCCTGGCCTTTAGGGTGGCTAGGAGTCAGAACGGACACAGTCACTCGGTAAACACAAGGGCACTTACAACGAGGCTAGTATGAGATTTCCTTCTCGCCCGAGTATATGGAAGAATGGACGGGGAAGTGCGTGGTATATCTGAAGGAGTCACTGCATTTTCTTACAGGTACACTTTGATCCCCACCTCCATCCTCCTGGGGCTGGGAGGTGCCCCCCTCTGGTCAGCCCAGTGCACCTACATCACCATCCTGGGAAACGTGCATGCCGAGAAGGCAGGGAAAGCCGGCAAGGACGTGGTGAACCAGTACTTCGGCATCTTCTTTCTCTTATTCCAGTCATCCGGTGTGTGGGGCAATCTGATTTCCTCTCTGGTATTTGGCCAGACTCCCACTCGAGGTAAAAGACAAAGGGGCACTCACTGGCCTCAGGGTGGAGCAGGGATTTCAATGGGAGCTGAGAGAGGGTAACAGACCCAGATTAGGACAGGTCTTTATTCTGTGGAGTCCCTGGGTGGTGCAAATGGTTAACGCACTCGGCTGCTAACAGAAACGCTCGAGTTTCAAGTCCACCCAGAGGTGCCTCGGAAGAAAGCCCTGGCAATCTACTTCCAAAAGTCAGCCACTGAAAGCCCTATGGAGCACAGTTCTACTCAGACATACATGGAGTCGCCATGTGTTGGAGTTGACTCGATGACGGCTGGTACGGGCTTTCTTCTCGGAATAATCTGGGCGGATAGATCAGGCCGTCCCTCAAGAGGTGGCCCCCACCTGGTTGTGTTTCAGAGTCACCTGCTCCCGGGCTCTTCCCTGGGAAAATCAGGGTGGGTCTGTGGCTCCATCAGCCCCCCGATTCTGGCGCTGCCTCCCACAGCCAGCACAGGGGAGCCACAGCAAGGGCCATGCCTCGTGTAATGTGGGTTGATTGAGTCATTACTACCCTCTTAGACTCTCTAAGAACTGGCTGGACTGATTTATTTTCCCACTGCACTGAGTTTTTTAAATGTTCCTTTTTAGACCCTTACCCTTTAACTGATTGGAATGTCTGCTGGGCTGGTGTCTGAGCAGACCTTTGTCTGCTGGACCTTGCCCAGGCAGCAACTGAAGCCCTGTCTGTCTCTGCCTGCACCCTTTGATGTCTCTGTGAAGGATTTAAACCAAAGGCAGAAGAAAGAAATCTTATCTGTTCTTACAAGAAAACGTTCCCGTTGGGGGGAAAAATCCTACCTCTACCGACCATTATCAGGATTGTTTCTGTCTCTTCCTTGTGCTGTCCATCTTGCTATCCCATATAAAATCCCGCCTTTGGAACTCTGTAACCAAAACCTCCTTCCCTTTTGTCTCATGTGATGTCATCACTTGCTAATTGCATCCAAAGGGAGAACTATACGGTTCAAATATTTCAATTGTTACTCAGTATTACTGTCGCTGTCAGCAGTAATGCAACAGGAACTGAGATTGAAGCCCAGTCTCTGGCGTTACTGGTTAGTCATGGACGGAAAGGTTCAATTCTGAAGGCAAGTGGTCACAGGACAGAACTTGAGAGCTGAACACACCCTGGCGGCACGCAGGTGTCTCAGCCTTTCATGCCATGGCCATCATGACACCTTCTCACCAGTCAAGAAGATGCTGTAGGGTTTTTAGTGATGAAATTTCTATTATGAAAACAATAAAACACTAGACAGGTTACTGCAAATTGCGCAGATCTGAGCCACCTGCCTCAAAAGCCAATACTGAGACAGGGGTGAGGTGAGCAGCAAGAGGGTTTGATTGTATATTGATATACATGTGACAGAGGGGAAGGAGCTCCTCCAAAAGACCTGTCTCCCCGACTGGAGACTGGCTGAAGGTTTTATATGGACAGGATTATAGTTTCTCTTCACAGTGGTCACGTTTCTCACATCTCAGATGGTCTAACTTTTTACTGGCAATCCTTGAAGGTTATCTGGCATCGTTAGTCACGATTGTCACGTCACAAATGAGTTAATCCTAGTCCTTGAAGGTTACCAATTTGTTATGCCACCATCCAGGGAGAAACTTTAGTCAATCTTAAAGTTTTATAGGGACTGGAATAGGAGGAGGGAGAAAGAAGAAGAAATATCATGAGACAAAGAGGGGGCTAGTGATGGTGGGAATCAGTTATTCAGCAGTGGTTCTAACTGAGCTTATGCAGCCTGTTCTAGATATTCTTTTCACAGGACATCTCACCCTCCTCTGCAGAGGTTCTGACGTGGTTCCAACTGAGAATCACCGATGGTTCACATTTTATTCTTTTAGCAGACAAGGAAGCTAACATTCATAAACGTTATTAAGTAACCAGCCCAAGGCTATGGGACAGGCTGTAGATGCTTCAGAGGGAGCCTGGCGCTCCTGACACCAGCTCTAACTGGACTTTCTTTTCGATTCATTTCGAAAAGTTGAAAATTTTCATATATCACCAGTAAGCAAAAAACCCATGGCTGCCACATTGATTCTGACTCTTCGTGACCCTATAGGACAGAGTGGAACTGCCCTATAGGGTTTCCAAGGAGCAGCTGGTGGATTCGAACTGCTGACTTTTTGGTTAGCAGCCGAGCTCTTAACTGATATAACTAGACTTCCTTCTTGTTTCATTTTGAAAAGTTGAAAAATTTCAGTTATGTCAGGAGAATAATATGATGAGTAACCAACGTTTATTCCACATTTATTCTTCTCTGAATCTTTGCATTCTCTTCCTCCCAGCCAAAGCGGCTTAGATTCAAGTGTGCTGACCTGCTGGGGGCAGATGCATTCTGAGACCCGGATCTTTTGACCCTGACCTTCTGTGACGTCTTGCCTTCTCTTTCACTTTACCCCTCCACTCCACAAAGACTCAGGCTCACCATGTGCCTTTGACTTCACAGGGTTCCTTCCGGATGAGGAGCTCCAGCATTGTGGGGCCAGTGACTGCCTGATGGCCACCGAGCCCACCAACAGCACCCAGCGCCCATCCCAGGAGCTCATTTACACCCTGGTAGGCATCTACACAGGTATGTTTACACAGCGCCCGGAGTGGGGGCCTGACCAGAGCAAAACCCTGACCTCTTTCCTGCATCGAAAACATCATTTCCCCCAAAGGATAATCTTTCTAGAGTCCATGGGTGGCAAAAAATGGTTAAGCACTCAGCTGCTAACAGGAAGTTTGGCAGCTCAAGTCCACCCAGAAATGCCTTGGAAGAAAGGCCTGGTGACCTACTTCTGAAAGATCAGCCATTGAAAACCCTAAGGAGCAGTTCTACTTTGAAATACATGGGGTCGCCAGGACTTGAAATTGACTTGATGGCAACTGGTTTGGTTTAAGGTCCCTGGGTGACAAAAAACGGTTTGTGCTTGACTGCTAATGCAAAGGTTGGCAGTTGGAACCCATCCAGCATTGCCACAGAAGAAAGTCCTGGTGATCTGCTTCTGTTAATTGGAGATCCAGTTATTTTCTGCTTTGAATTTTTTGCTGATACCAGGTGTTTTCACTAATGGAAGGCATGCTGATTAAAGGACAAATTCAGAATTTTTGTTATGAGTTATGGATTTTGATGTCCATTATCTGGGATCCCATTTGTGCCAGCACGCTCTAGACAATGTAAATCCCGCTGATAGGAGTCAATGATAAAATCTTTTTTTTTTTTTTTTTATTTCTTGAAAATTTGCAAAACCTGAGGTGACACCTGAAGACCCCTGGCAGTAACCACACACACATTTCATTCTAGTCTCCTTCTTCTTAACATTTTTATTACTTTTCATGAAACTTCAAAACTTTTCATAGTTATCTAGTGCCACAATACTGCTGTAACAGAAATACCACAAGTGGATGGCTTTAATAAACAGAAGTCTATTCTCTCACAGTCTAGGAGGCTAGAAGTCTAAATTCAGGATGCCCGCTCTAGGGGAAAGCTTTCTCTCTCTGTTGGTTCTGGGGGAAGGTCCTTGTCATCAATATTCTCCTGGTCTAGGAGTTTCTCAACACAGGGAGCCCGGGTCCAAAGGACACTCTGTGCTCCTGGCACTACTTTCTTGGTGGTATGAGGTCCCCATGTCTCTCTGCTCTCTTCTCTCTTTGATATCTCAGAAGAGATTGACTCAAGATACAACCTAAACCTAATAGATTGAGTCCTGCCTCATTAACATAACTGCCTCGAATTCTGCCTCATTAATGTCATAGAGGTAGGATTTACAACACACAGGAAAACCACATCAGACGACAAAATGGTGGACAATCACACAGTACTGGGGACCATGGCCTAGCCAAGTTGATACACATTTATGGGGAAAATAATTCAATCCATTACAAAGGTACAATGCATTCTTCCTTACTGCAAAAGCAGTACTTACAGCCCAAATAAATAAAGCCAAGGAATTTTTTATGTCAGAAAAATTACCACTACAATGTATTCTTCATTACTGCGAAAGTAGTACTGACCGGCCAAATAAATAAAACTAAAGGAATTTGAATCTCAGGAAAATTACTACTTCTATGTATAGTTTATTATAACAAAAGCAGTACTAACAGCTAAGAAGCAGAAACAGCTGCCCTGGAATATTGCAGACCTGCTCACAGTGGTGCCTTCCACCTGCTACACGTAGAAGCAATGATTGGGCCCCAAGATTGAATGCGGGGTAAGAATAACTTATAGGAGTTCCAGTCTCTTGAAAAGCACCACTTCAATGCATTATTCCTTACTGCAAAGGCATTATTTACTGTTCAGAATCTAGAAAAGCAGGGAGCCAGTAACATCTGGAAACAATGGATGGCATCAAGGAGAAAATGGCCACTATGACTGAATGAAAACTGGAATGGCTTATTCTCATGATAAGTACATTCTGACAAGAACATAGCAACTGGGAAACTAGTGAGGAGGCTTATCTCACAGATATAAAGGGAAAACTTGTCAAAAGTTTACAAAATTCACATGGCCAGGAGGCATCACCTAAGACAATTCTCAATCTACACAAAAATGAGGCTCCAACTCAGGGTTCTTGAGTTTCACGCATTTCAAAAGACTCCTACCTTGAGACTAAATCAGGCTACCTCCTTCCCAGGGAACTCCAGAGGCATATAAAGTGGTTGGAATATGTATATCCCATAGGTTACCAAAGGTTTAAGGGTCAAGGTTACAGCCAAGAAAATCCGATTACTTGGGCAGTTCTGCTCTGTCACAGATGGGGTCATCATGAGTTGAACTCACCTCAGTGGCAACTAACAACAACAATACTCTTTCTTGGTTGAAAAATCCCTGGAAAATGTGTTGGGCTGGACCATACATGGGTATTTTCCATATGAAATGAAATACAGTAGACCAGTGCTGTCCAGTAGGGTTTTCTGTGATGATGGAAGTGTTTTATGCCTGCACAGTCCAATATGGTGGTGGCCATTAGCCACACCTGGCTATTATTTAAATTATTAAATTACAAATTCAGTTCCCATGTCTCTAGCACATTTCCAGTGCTCAGCGTCCACATGAGGCTGGTGACACCATATGGCACAGCACCACAGCAGACCACACATTGGTGGCTTGCCTGTTTGTATGTCAACTATCTGCAAGTGACTCTGAAAGTCCACCACGTCTGTAAATTGCCATGTTTTCTGAGGACTGTATTTGCTTGGCTCCTCCTGATGGGTCCCACACCCCACCATCCTCACATCCATGGAGCCTCATGGTTCCCAATCACTGTTCAGCAACAGGGTGAAGATATGCAGACATCGGAAGTTCATGAGGAAACTGGTGCCCAGAGGAAGTTAGTTGTCATGCGAGTCTTATCCTTAAGAGTCTTATCCTTAGAGTTTCTTTTAGCATAAATGGTTAAGGGACTCGACTACTAGCCAAAAGGTTGGCCATTCAAACCCAACTAAAGATGCCTTGGAAGACAGCCCTGGCAATCTGCTTCCAAAAGGTCACAGCCTTGAAAGCCCTATGGAGCACAGTTCTACTCTGCACACATGGGGTCACCACCAGTCGGAATCAACCTGACCACAGCTAACAACGGCTCTTGTGTTCATAGATTTATTAGGGTTTTGTTTTGTTTTAAGCATTTGGGAGGGAATTTAAATTCATGTCCTTGTGGAATCCATGAAGGTGTGAAATACGTCTTCCTTAAATATCAAAAGTTTCAGATATGTATGTCAGATTTGGTGGGGCTGAGCCCAGTCTCCTCCTGGGGATCCAAGGTGAGAAAAGATGGCAGGCACAAGTGGGGAAAGAAAGAGCCCTGGTGCTGCAGTGGTCAAGCAGCCGACTGCTAACCGAAAAGTCAGTCAAACCCACCAGCTCCTCTGAGGGAGGAAAGACCTGGCAATCTGCTCTCATAAAGATTACAGCCTTGGAAACCCTATGGGGCAGTCCTACTCTGTCACATGGGGTCACCATGAGGCAGAATCCACTCAACAGCAATGGGTTTGATGGTGAGGAGCACCTTCAGGGTGAGACAGTAAGCTGCTGCCAACACCCAGGTCTCAACGTCATGTCCAAGTTAGGAATGGAGGGAGTGCTCATAGAGCAATCACATCAAGGTGCAGTGAGCACCATCGCCCAGTGCACTACGCCTTCTCTGGTCCAGAAAATAATAAGAGGCTCACCTCCACTACACTTACAGGCCAGTTCACCTTCACCACACTTGAACCATAAAAACCAAGCCTGCTGCCGTCGAGTCAATTCCGACTCATAGCGACCCTGTAGTACACATGGAGTATAGTAAAGGGCACAGATACACCTTGGACTAACCCGACTCTGATACAGTAGGTGTTTGGAGCAAAGCTCCCATTGATGGGTAATTCCATCATCCTGGGGAGAGTGGAGACTAGCGGCTTTGAGACCATATTAGAGCCGAGCAGGATTTTACCAGGCTGACAAGTGGCCGCGTGAGCAGAGGTGCCCAGAAGCCCAGCGAGGAGCCAGCCGTGGCTGGAGGGCGGAGTGGACCGAGGGGACAGCAGGGAGGGGAGGTGGCAGAGTACAGAGGCCATGGTGCCATGCCAATAGGTTTGGGCACGCTCAGATTTGTGTCCTAAACTGACTCCGGGGGTGGCGTGGTTTGGAGGAGCAGAGAAGCAGTGGGTAGAGACAGGTTACGAAGCTGCTGCAGTGATCCACGCAGGAGGCACAAGAAGGCAGAGGGAGTGCAGAGAAAGAGTGGACCTGAGGTGATTTTAGGGCAAAGACCCGCAGGATTAGCTGTGAACAGGATGTGGGATGTGGGGGAGAGACAGACGCCATAGCAAACCTGAGTTTACAGAACTTAGGGTTTTTTTGTTTTTCCAATTTTTTTTTAAAGTATACTTCAGAAGAAGGTTTCCAGAGCAAACTAGTTTCTCATTAAACAATTAACACACATATTGTTTTGTGACATTGGTTGCCAATACCACAACATGTCAACGTTTTCCCCTTCTCAGCCTTGGGTTCCCCATTACCAGCTTTCCTGTCCCCTCCTGCCTTCTACTCCTTGCCCCTGGGCTGCTGTGTCTCTGTAGTCTCATTTCGTTTTATGGGCCTGTCTAATCTTTGGCTGAAGGGTAAACTTCAGGAGTGATTTCATTACTGAGCTATAAGGGTGCCCACAGGACATACTTTCGGGGTTTCTCCAGTCTCTGTCAGGCCAGTAAGTCTGGTCTTTTTTTCTGTGAGTTAGAATTTTGTTCTACATTTTTCTCCAGCTCTGTCTGGGACCCTCTGATGTGATCCCGGTCAGAGCATTCTGTGGTGGTAGCTGGGCACCATCTAGTTGCACTGGACTCAGTCTGGTGGAGGCCATGGTAGTTGTGGTCCATCAGTCCTTTGGACTAATCTTTCCCTTGTGTCTTTGGTTTTCTTCATTCTCCCTTGCTCCAGATGGGGTGGGACCAGCGGATTATCTTAGATGGCCTCTCACAAGCTTTTAAGACCCCAGATGCTACTCACCAAAGTAGAATGTAGAACATTTTCTTTATAAACTATGTTATGCCAATTGAGCTAGATGTCCCCCAAGATCATGGTCCCCACAGCCCTCAGCCCAGTAAGTAATT